TACTATTCTTATCTTCGATCTCCTGTTGAGTTCGTAGGTGTTCAGAATGGTTTGATCCCTATTCAGCTGAATTCCTGAGACCAGATGAAATCCAGGTCTCCTACTCCTCCGCCATCTTGCTCCGCCTCCTCTCCATAATTTTATCTTCTGATTCACCGATTCACTCTTCTGTTTCATCCATCTTCGTTTTTATGCCTTCCATTTGGAATTGCATCTCAGTTATAACATTTTAAATTTTGGTCTAACTAGATTTTAGTTCTTTTATCTCTGCAGTAAGGGATTCTCTAGTGTCTTGTATGCTTTTTTCAAGCCCAGCTAGTATCCTGTTAATTGTTGTTTTAAATTCTAGTTCAGACATCTTACTTATATCATATTGATTAAATCCCTGGCCATGAGTTCTACCTTCTCTTCTTTCTTTTGGGGTGAATTTCTCCATCTCCTCGTTTTGTCCAGAAAAGAAAAGAAGAAAGAAAAAGAAAAATAAAACAACAACAATAAAACAAAAAACTAGATCCTGGGTGTGTCTTGGTCTGCTTGTTGAGAGAATCTAGATCCCAAATTAAGAAAGGAAAAAAATAAAATATAATATAATGAAAGTAAACAAAAAAATAGTATATATATGATATATATAAAACAAAAATTTAAAAAATTAATAAAAATTTTTTTTAAAGAATTGAAAAAATAAGAAAATAAATGAAAAAAATAAAGAATAAAAGTACAAAGGAGGCTGGATACTATTTTCCCCTAGAGCTGAAGCTTTGCAGCCCTCTATGATCAGAAGACTTTGTGTGAGTGAGTTGTTTGTGCTGGTCTTCTGGGGGAGGGGCCTGTTGCACTGATTCTCAGGTGGTCTTACTTAGTGGAAATGGGTCTCCAGTTTGCAGGGAGGCAGGGCTTGGTGTAAGCGGCTCCGGACTCCACTAGGCGGTGCTGTTTTGCTCCCTGAAGGCTTTCAGTGATGATGGGCAAGTTTAATATGGCAGCCCCCCCACCCCCTTCCAGTCCCACAGTTGAAAGTTCATGCCCCCAACTCTTCAGTGAGCCCTCACAGAAAAGCAGTCAATCACTCTTGTGTCCCCGGTTTCCATCAGAACCCTGCATTCCCCCTGCCTGTGTCTGAGCTTTTTATCTCAGGCATCCAACTGAATTTCAAAACTCCAAATTTTAGGGACTCCTGCAGGTCGGACTGTACTGTTCCTCCCCCATGCTTCTGCTGTTTGCCAGGCCTGTCCCAGGAAAGAGGTCACGGGACCTCGGAGTGATTCGCAGTTTATGGCAAAACAGAGGAGAAAGCCAGCACCTTAACTGGCTGTTCTCAGCCGGCTTCCACACTCCTATGTCTGGGAACAGTGCAGCATTTAGGTGCCATCTGTTCTTGTGACCCAGGGGATCCTGAGACCACAGTGTCACATGTGAATTCTGCCCTGCTTCGCCACCTGAGCACCTTTAAGCCAGGCACATACCCATGGTAGCAGACTTCTAAAAGTTCTGATTTTGTGCTCCACTGCTTATAATACTTTGTGGTGGGCTCCTTCCCTGCTGCCATGTCCACAGCTATGTCTCCCCAAATTCAAGCCTCTGCACCTCCTACCTACCAAAAGGTGGCCCCTTTTCTACTTGTGGACTTGCAGTTTTTGTTCTCTCAGACCTCTGATTGATTTCTTAGGTGTTCCAAATGATTTATAGCTATCTAGCTGTATTCGAGGGATGAGACAAGCTTAGGGTGCCTCTAATCCTCTGCCATCTTAACTCCCTGTCTGGTTTCATTTATTCAGCATAATTGTGTGTTTTGAGACATACCCGGATAGTTGCACACAGCAGTAATTTGTTTTTTTCTTGTTGAGTAGTAGCTTCTTGAAAGCTTTGAGAATCAGAGTTTGGTTAGTTTTTCCTCTTTCCTCTCCTCTTATCTTTTGGACAACTGCTCACTTTCTACCTTCAGTGATTCCTGAGCACAAAGAGTATCAGTGTGCTCTTTTATCCTAAAAAAACAGAGCCAATGGCCCTGTGTCCACCCTCCTGCATTCAACTATGCTTCCTTGGACCCTTCCAAGGGATGGTAGCAAGTGGCTGTCCTTAATCATTTCCTGGCATCTCCTTCCATTTACAAGAGAGAAAAATGCACAAATTCACAGCTCCTCGTCCAGTGGGAAATTCTGGCTGGCGTGGTCTCTTGGAACTGCTTTTAGGGGTCCCCAGCCTCCTGCATGGGCCTTCGAGGGCTGTAGCTGGCTTGAGTGGCTGTGCCAAGATGGCCCTTCACAGACTTACTTTGTCTTCCAGAACAATCCTGAGAAGACAGAGGCATCAGAACGAGGGGACTTTTACATCACGGGGGACCGAGCCCACAAGGACAAGGATGGCTACTTTTGGTTCATGGGAAGAAATGATGATGTGATCAATTCCTCAAGGTCAAGCTGTCTGCTCTGTCCTTCTCCCTTTGAAGCTTCGTGGGGGGGAGGTGGGAAGTGGTCACTTGGAAGAGTTTGTTTTTCTCTTCCAGCTACCGGATTGGGCCCGTTGAAGTGGAAAATGCCCTTGCCGAGCACCCTGCTGATCTGGAGGCTGCTGTGGTCAGCAGCCCAGACCCCATCAGAGGGGAGGTAACTAGTCCAGCCAAGAACATTGCCTCCTGGTTCTATACCTGTTTGTACCCAGCAGAGTAAGCTCCACCGAGGTACTACAAAGTATGAAATGCCACCATCAGGCACACATTCCTTTTGGTTAAGCATTACCCTCATGTCTTTAGAGACATACTTTTGAGAGGGACACGATGAGAAGATACCAACACTCTCATGTCAAGTGGACCCAGAACTGGATCCAAAAGAGGTGGACTGTTGGAAAGAGATCTTGGCAGTGGGTGCAGGCTCTGTCATCCATCCTGGCCAATAAAGAGTCCTTTCCCATTTGCAGATGAGGATATAGCAAGCACACCAGACATGGCTGCTGATGGTTCTAACCTGGGAGGAATATCCACCTTAAGGGATGACAAAATAAATATCCAAAGTGACCCTGATGTATCAGAAGGATGGGACAAATTTAATAAGCTGACCTTTCTCAGGAGAAATGCAAATTCCTTCCCATGGGTCCCAGAAGAATAGATAGAATGGGAGAAATGAAGCTCATAGGCAGGCCTGTGTGCTTTTCACTGGCTGTAAATCCAACATAATCCTACAGTATAGTGTAGTTACCTTATGAAAGTTAGTACAACATCAGGCTGTGTTCTCAGAAGCACCAGGGCCAGAGGAGTGGGTCTTTTAAGTCAGGGCCCTAGACTACTCATAGCTGCATCATCTGGGATTCTTATTTAAAATACAGATTTCTAGACCTCAAGTCAGTCTTGCTGAATTAGAGTGATTGAGGATGCAGCCCAAGGCTTCTTCATTTTGAGAAGCCCCTATCCAGGTGATTCTGATGCCAATTAAACTTTGAGGCCAATGATTTATTCATGAGAGACAGAGAGAGGGAGAGAGAGAGAGAGGCAGAAGGAGAAGCAGGCTCCCAAGGAGCAGGGAGCCCAATGTGGGACTCGATCCCAGGACTCCGGGATCAGGACCTGAGCCGAAGGCAGACGCTTAACCATCTGAGCCACCCAGGCACCCGAGGCCAATGATTTAGAACAAGGAAGGTGGGAGCCCCATGTATATTCTGGAGAAATCACACCTGGAAAATTATACCTAGCTTTGTATACCCCAAATTAGCTGGGGTTGTGACAAATGGCTGTGTGCAGTTAATTTACATATAGTACTCAGAACAGAGCCTGGCACATAGAAAATACTCAATAAATGTTTGGTAGTTTTAACAATCAGAGAGAGCCTTTCCTAATAACCAGATCTATCTGAAAGTGAAATGTAGTGAGATGCCCACCTTTGGGAAGCATGCAAAGACGGTGAACCCCCACCTAACAGGATGTTGTTGACAGAGCTATATGCTGGGGTGGGTAGCAAGCTACTGGCCTTTGAATTCTTCCACTTCTGTCAGAAACCATGTTCTGTTGTACTCCTCATCCTTGGTGGGAAGCAGCCTGCAAAGAAAGGCTCAGGCAGAAACAACCAAGGTACAGAATGTCCCTCAGGACATAGGGCACTGAAGCTGTGCAGCAAAATGTTTGCTCGTTGCAAACACTTGTACATGCAGGCTCAGAAATACACACCTCCCCTTGGAAGTGGTGTGCATTATTCCCAATCCTGCCTATGCAAGCCTCTGCCATCTAATTTTCCAGTCAGAAAGACTTGGAAGTAATGGACCCTGAGGAGTTTGTGAAGCTCCTTTCTCCACAAAGTGTTTGCATCAGAAAAGAAGCTCGTTGGCTACTCATGGTGTTATTTCAGGAGAGGGGAGCAGTTTGGGGAATAGGTAGGATCCTGGAATCATTCCACAAAAGCCAGTGTTTCCAATAGTTGGTCCTGGAATGGAGGCAACAGGGAAAGAAAAATGGTGTCCATTTTGCTGGCTGAGCCAGAGGAGCTGGTAGGACTTTCATGCTTAGCTGGCAAAAGGAGGAAAAAAGTTGTTATAAAGGGCCTGATTCTTTCTGGTTTTGGAGGGTTTGTTTTTGTTTCCTTCTGGCAGGTGGTGAAGGCATTTATTGTCCTTTCTCCAGCTTACTCCTCTCAAGATCCTAAGAAACTAACTCAGGAGCTCCAGGAGCATGTGAAAAGGGTGACCACTCCATACAAGTACCCCAGGAAGGTAAACATCAGGGGTTCTAGGACTTGATGAGCTGAGAAATCCCCTGAGCACAGACTACGTTGGCTCTCATTCAGGGCCAAGCCCGGGGTTTGGGAGGGTGGTGATGAAGGTACAAATAACCAAGCTTCTCCTTCAGCTTTTCTCTCTGTTTTCTCACTGGGCCCTCCCCAAACCACATTTTGTTCCTACTCTAAGAAGTGACAGACACCGGATTTGGGGGGGGTGGGAGGGTGGGGGGGGGATGGTGCTGAATCTCTGCGGGCAAGGTCATGTGCCCCAGACTAGCCATTTTGGTCATTGCCATTTAGAGAAAACTATGAATCATGGAGGCTTTCCAACAAAGTGGCAGAGGGTAATGAAGTCAGAAGTCTTTCTAGGAAATGATGATTTAAAACGGTTTTTGTTTTATGGTCACTAGGTGGCCTTTGTTTCAGAATTGCCCAAGACAGTTTCTGGAAAGATCCAAAGGATTAAATTGAGAAGCCAAGAGTGGGGGGAGATGAGAGGCAACCCCCGAAAGGCCCCATAGGCCTCTGAAGCTTCTAAGAGGAACTGGTGGGAATCACTCGTTAGTCCTTGTTTGGAGCATCATCCCTTCAACCCTATGGACATCAAAGGCTTTCAGTTTCAAATGGGCAGTTCCAAAATCGTTGGGAGGACCCTGGAAGAGAGTGGAAGAATGTCACTAACCCAGAGTGCACAGCCCCTGCCAGTCTAGCATATGTTTGATGCCTTGACTTCCCCCTCCTCTCTCTGAAGGCAACCTCAGCAGCTGATGCTCTGAAGGACAGGTCATCATAAAGCCAGGGCTCCTGTGATCTCATTCATTGCCGGTCATTCAGGGCCGGAACTGTTACCATCCCTCTCTTGACAATGTATTCCATTATCCTTTTGATAAAGCCATATATCCAGGGCCATGAAAAATTGGTCCTACTCTTTAGCTCAGAAATTCCATCTTTGGTAATCACTGCAAAAGAAAGGATTCGAGGATATTTACTCGAATATTGTTTAAAACTGTTAAAAAAAAAAAAGGAAAAAAAAATCAATGTCCAACCAATAGGACAATGATTAAGTTGTAGTAGATTAACTCAGTAGGATATTATGTGACCTTTAAAAATATGCCTTGGGGCAAACTTGAACTAAATTAATTTTAAGTCAGAATAAAAATAATATATGTGTAGTAGAGAACCGTAACTTTGAAAGGTAAAGGAAAAACTATGGAAAAAAAGCCTGAAAGGAAATACTTATGTTAAAAGTATTGAAAATAGTGGATGATCGTTTTCTCCTTTCCTCTGCGTTTCTCTATTTTCCAAGCTTTCTCAGTGAGCATGTATAACTAGTGTAATGAAAAAAATTATCTTAAAGAAACAATTCCCCCAAACCACACTCTGCCTCCAACACATCATCCCTCAAAGACTAGTGTATTATGTTGTGACCACAAAATACACAAGGACCCAAAACCACATCTCAGTCCCAGAAACAGAAAGAGGCGGCTCTGGGCCTCTGGGACCAGCCATGCGGAGACGAAGCAGATGGAAACTCAACGTGATCTTCAGTGCTGCTTAGCCAACCCCCAGGATCTCCATTCACCCACCGATCAATACTTATTGAGCACCTACTCAGTGCGGGGCTCTGGGAATGCAACAATAAGCAAAAGCCAACCCAGTCAGCACCTGTATTAATCTGTTTGGACTGACAAAGTACCACAGACTGGGAGGCTGGCTTGCTTTCTTTCTCTCTCTCTCTTTCCTTCCTTCCTTCCTTCCTTCCTTCCTTCCTTCCTTCTTTTCTTCTTTCCTTGGTTCTGGACATTGGAAGTCCAAGATCAAGGTGTCAGCAGGGTTAGTTTAATTCTGAGGCTTCTCTCCTTGGTTTGTAGACAGCTGTCTTCTCCTGTGTCCTCACATGATCTTCCCTCTGTGTCTGTCTCCTGATCTCCTCTTCTTATAAGAACACCAGTCAGATTGGATGAGGGCCTGATGACCTCATTGTAACTTAATCACCTCTTTGAAGGCCCCATCTCCAAATGGGGGATTAGGTACTGGGGATTAGGACCTCAGCATATGAATTTGGGGGGACACGATTCAGTGTCACAATCAGGGACACGATCCATGACACTACCCTTGTGGAGTTTACAGTGGAGTGGGGAGGCTGATGTTATTCATCAAAGAGTAAGGCAAATGCACCACTGTGATAAATGCCATGAAGGAAAGAATTTAGTTAAAACAAAGTTGGACTGACCAAGACTGGGGGGACTCAAGGTAACAGGACAGCCTTTCATAAGGAAGTCCCTAGTGAACTGGGATTGAAAGAAAAGTGGAAGTAAATTAAGTAAAGAGATTGGGGCTCAGCATTCTGAACAAAGGATACAGCGTGTGCAAAGGCCCTGAGTGGGGGGAGAGACAGGTTTGTGTTTCTAAGAACAGCACACTCAGCACCAGCTACAGTTAGGCACAGTTCTAAATATTTTAACTCTCAACTATCTTGTTGAACAGGTACTGATGACATTCTCATTTTACAGGTAGGACAAAGAGGTTAAACAATTTGTAGTTCAGAATGACTGGGTTTAGGAATTTTGTCTTCAGTGAGTGCTTGGGAGCCACTGAAGGTTTATGGCAGAGAAATGATCCTTAAAGTTTCCATAGCCCTTAAAAAGAGAAAGGAAAAAAAAAAAAAACTTCTCAAAATGATTTACTTGTTCTTTAAGTCTTTTGTCTTTGTGGCCTTCCTGGGCTGGGTAAATTTTCTTTATGTTAAAAGTGGAAATTCAGAGGGCTTTGGTATTTAGCCCAGACCCAATAGGTCTGACTCTGAAACCTCTTTAGTGCTCTTGGACTGGGGTTTGGAGTTGTGCATCAGACGCTGCTGGAATTCCTAATGAGCCCCCCAAAATGTCAGTTCCTTGAAAGCCAGGGGCTTGGATGGAAATGCCCCCCAGGAGACGTGGCCCCTGCCATCACCACGTCATTGTGGTTACATTGCTCCCTTCTCTTAGACTCAGTCTTAGATGCAGGGCAGATGATCCCTTGCCTCTCCCCCTCTTAGCCCTGGGCTGAACCTATCTGTTCTTCTCCAGCTGTAATCAGAGCTCCCTACCTTGGCCTTTGTCCAGACTTCAGTCAGCATAAGCCAAGGGTGATGAAGGGTGGGAGTGGGGTTGGGGAGGCCCACCCACCGTCAGCCCTCCCTGTCCACCCTCCCCAAATTTTCCCTCAAGCCCTCTCCCCACTCCACTGATGCACTTGACCAACCTCCCCACCGCAAGCCAGCTCTCCACAGTTGCCTCAGCCCAGCCCAGCTCAGCTCCAAAAGGAAAAAGGCCGAACTCCCGGCTGCAGCTGAACAGTTGGGAGCCAGGCACCACCAATCCACGCTTCCCCACCAGCAGCCCCAGCCCTGGAAGTGCTGAAAAGAACTGTTACCATCCCTCTCTTGACAGTGTATTCCATGCCTGGCATTGTGCTACATGCTCTGCTGAGGTCCTCTCACTCCGTGATTCCCCACCTTCACTCACTCCCATGCTGCCTTTGGCATTGTGACTCTCTCCACATACCATCTGTGCTATAAATCAACTCACTTTTAAAAGAAAGCATCTTTGGGCGCCTGGGTGTCTCAGTTGGTTAAGCGACTGCCTTCGGCTCAGGTCATGATCCTGGAGTCCCGGGATCGAGTCCCACATGGGGCTCCCTGCTCGGCGGGGAGTCTGCTTCTCCCTCTGACCCTCCCCCCTCTCATGTGCTCTCTCTCTTTCTCATTCTTTCTCTCAAATAAACAAATAAAATCTTTAAAAAAAATAAAAAAATAAAAGAAAGCATCTTTGCCCTATGAGTCTGGAGTTCTGTTCAATTTTTTCCCCAATGCACACCAAAAGAGCCGTGAACGTGAATGCTGCTCAACCAAAATTACCTTGCAAAACCCACATTGGGGAAAACAGATCCAACCAATTTCTCACTCAAATTCTGAGAGGAAAGTAGAATCTCCACTTAAGAGATGGAAAGACTGAAGCTGGGGGTGTCTTGCATAGCAGCCCCTCCCTGGGTCTCCATCCTTCTCCAGTCTCTGCCAAGACCCCTGCCCACCTTCTCTAGGTTCCCATCTCTTTCTCCTTCTCACACTCTTCACCCCATTCCTTTTCCTTTTTTGTAAGTTTTTATTTAATTCCAGGTAGTTAACGTGCAGTGTTGTATTCCTTTCAAGTGTACAATATAGTGATTCAACACCTGTATACAGTACCTGGTGCTCATCACCGCAAGTGTCCTTCTTAATCCCCATCACCTGTTTAACATCCCCCCACCAACCTTCCCTCTGGTAACCATCAGTGTGTTCTCTGTAGTTAAGAATGTGTTTCTTGGTTTACTTCTCTCTCTCTTTTTTCCTTTGCTTCTTTGTTTTGTTTCTTAAATTCCACATGTGAGTGTAGTCATGTGGTGTTTTCTCTGACTGACTGATTTCACTTAGCAGGATACTTTCTAGCTCTAGCTGTGTCCTTGCAAATGGCAAGATTTCATTCATTTTTATGGAATAACATTCTATTGTATATCTGTACCACATCTTTATCCATTCATCTAGCCATGGACACTTGGGGTGGTTCCATATCTTGGCTATTGTAAACAATGCTGCTATCATACCCCTTTGAATTAGCGTTGTTGTATTCTTTGGGTAAATACCCAGTAGTGTGATTGCTGGTTCCTAAGGTAATTCTGTTTTTAATTTTTTGAGGAAACTCCATACTGTTTTCCACAGTGGCTGCACCAGTTTGAATTCCCACCAACAGTGTAGGAAGGTTCCTTTTCCTTTTTCTCCACACCCTCACCAATGCCTGTTGTTTCTTGTGTTGCTGATTTTAGCTGTTCTGACTGGTGTGAGGTGGTATCTCATTGCAGTTTTGATTTGCATTTCCTTGATGATAAGTGATGTTGAGCATCTTTTCATGTGTCTGTTGGCCATCTGTGTGTTTCCTTTGGAGAAATGTCTGTTTATGTCTTATGCCCATTTTTAATTGGATTATTTGTTTTTTGGATTTGATTTGTTTAAGTTATTTACATATTTTTGATAATAACTCTTTTTTTCGTATGTCATTTGCAAATATCTTCTCCCATTCAGTAGGTTCTCTTTTAATTTTGTTGATTGTTTCCTTTGCTGCGCAGAAGCTTTTTATTTTGATGTAATCCCAATAGTTACTTTTGCTTTTGCTGGGAGACATACCTAGAAAAAAGTTGCAACAGCTGATGTCAAAGAGGTTACTACCTGTGTTCCCTTCTAGGATTTTTATGGTTTCAGGTTTCACATTTAGGTCTTTAATCCATTTTGAATTTATTTTTGTGTATGGTGTAAGGAAGTGGTCCCTTTGTTCACCCACTTTGCCTCTTCCTGGCCTGAGGGCTCAACGGTACTAAGGCTCAGCTTTTAAGTCATTTCTCTTGCAAAGCTTTCATTGCTGCCCATCATAGGGATCTTTTTGAGGGATCCCAGGATACCCTGCCTAACCATATGGTGGCAGAAATAATGGAGATGCTGAGTAGGCTGGGC